AGCAATCGTATTTGATTTGCAAATGTCTCCCCTCACCCAATCCCCATTTTTTGTTTTACTAATTTTATTTGAAATTAATCGATCTACTTACGCTAAAGAAAAAAAAAATGATGTGTGAATATTTTCCAACAGGACAGACATCGATTGAAACCCAAACAAAATACGGATGGGAAAATTCTCTTCTGGTGTTTAAACTAGAGAAAGGTTAACATGGTCAACACGAGGATAATTTTTCAGTCACGCACATTTCAACAATGATCATTGTGAAAGTGTGTGAATCAAAGCCGTACAACAATGCGAACAGAAATCTCAAAATGCAATTCTTTTTGAGGTTATTATAGGAAATGTCACAAGACGCTAAACTAGGTTTAAACGATGATTAGCTTTGAATAGCTCTTGTTGATCACAGGGAGTTCGCTTTCTTTTATTCGTCTTCTTCTACTTTTCTCACAAACACGTGTTATGTCGTACAACTGGGATTTATGCAGGAAACGTTAACGGTGTGAAACACACGGGCGTGGTCGCATTTAACATTAATAAATACCCCCTTCACCCCCCCCCCCCCCCCTCCTCTCCATCCCATCTCATCTGTTCACCGCACTTAAGGGAGGAATAAAGAGAATATTGTCCCGTTGTTATGGTTACTGTCTTTGCTCATGTTTGTCGACAAATTTGCCCCCTTGTCAGATTCCAGGCGACGCCCCTCGGTGTGATTTCACCAGCTGATCGGGGGAAGGAGGGGGTCGCAGGCCGATAGCGAGCCTACGCCCTCGCCCCTCTCCACAATGCGCGGTTAGGAAAGATTTTCTTGTGTGGAGGGGGGGGGGGGGGGCTTGCATTTCTTTTTTCTTCTACATTATGGGTCGCTTAAATTCATTCACAATCAATTTAAATTGAACTTAAGGTCGGGTGGGGCTCTACCCCCTCCCCCTTGCCCCCCCCCCTATAACCGCTACTCTTCTTCACCACCACCTCCATCACCATCTCATTCTTGGGAACGGTGGCCGGGCAACATAAGGACAGTTCGTGATGGGGACATGGGAACGAGGAGTGTGGGAAAAGTATGTTGTATGGTTGTTTGATATGGGCCGAGTGTGGGATGCATCTGAGTCAATGGAACACACTGCAGTGTGCCCTTGTTTGCTCGGTGAGGATCCTCCCCTATACAGTTCTTTTTTTAAATGTCCATGATGTCGGAGCTTGGGAGTGGTCGTGGTGGTGGTGGTGGTGGTGGTTCGAGGACATGGGTAACAGAATGAGCATGGTGATGTTGATGGAGATGAAGAAGGGGTGGGATGGAGACATTGATCAAGAGATGTGAAAAGGGAAGAAGGGAGAAACATTGGGAGATATAAATCAAGAGGCATGATGGGGATCAGATAAAGGGAAAGAGAGAGAGAGAGAGGGCGGGGGAGAGAGAGAGAGAGAGAGAGAGAGAGAGAGAGAGAGAGAGAGAGAGAGAGAGAGAGATAGAGAGAGAGAAAGAGAGAGAGAAAGATAGAGAGAGAGAGAGAGAGTTAGAGGGAGAGAGAGAGAGAGAGAGAGAGAGAGAGAGAGAGAGAGGAAAAAGAAAAGAAAAGAAAATCAATTAAAGAAAAGGAAATCAATTAAAGAAAAAAATAAATTAAAGGGGAAACAAGGACAAAAACAAAAACAGAAATTACAACTAAGAAGAGAGTGACAAATATGAACCAACTTTAACAGAGTGAGTGAGAGAGAGAGAGAAAAAAAAAGAGAGAGAGAGAGAAAAAAAAGAGAGAAAGAGAAAAGGACAGAGAGAGGGGGATTGGGGAAGGAGTGATATGTGGAAGGAGAATAAAATTCTATACCAGTAAGAGAGAAGGACGATGAAGTCGGCAGTACAGTATTTACTTTGCCAATCACAGCCAGGATTGAACACATAATGTTAGCGAAATCGAGGACAGATTAGTACACATTTATGATTGGGGCCACACCCAAACTCCAAGCACGAAATAGACGTCTAGACGGGGATAAAAGGTAGGAAGTTGAGAGCCAAAGTGAGGGTAATCAAAAGGGAAAGAGAATGTTCCAAAAGGTAAAAAAGGTCAATCAAGTGAAATATAAAGAAGGCATGGTAGATTTGAAGAATTAGGGGAGGAGAACAAAGAAGGGATAAAGGAAAAGAGAGATAAACCGAACAAGAGTAATGATATTCAGTTTTAAGCTTACTACGTGTTTTCATCAGTGCGCCAACAAGGTAGACAAAGTCGAAAAGATACGAAGGCCTGCAAACATGGAAAATGAAAAGAATTACGAATGAAATATAAAATAACACTATAGGGGACAACAAGGACCAAAAGACATAATACTTACACGAACACATATTCTGATATGAGAATAAGGTCAGATGTAGAACTGAATGATATTTATAATCAAAGAAATGTATAAGAAGAAAGAAGATTTGGAAGAGGCAAATGGAATTGAATTAATTTTAACAGAGACAGGTAAAAGGGAAAAGGGGCAGCTGTAAAACATGGGAAACAAAGAGAGAGATCGTGGGAGAGACAGAGAGCCGGAGAGACAGAGAGACAGAGAGAAAAAGAAAGAGATATAGATAGGGGGAGGGAGAGAGACCAGTCAATGGTGTCTCCAGATCTTTAATAACGGGGAGGGGCGACACCTTCCCCCAAAGGCTTGTTTCTAGTCAGCCACACATATTTTAAGGAAGGTAGACCATTTCCACGGTTCAGTTACATTTTCATTTGGCCTTTAAAAGGGGCAGGAGGGCTTGATAGCCAACTTGACCACTTAACATTATTTTTCTTTTCTTTTTATGTTTAAAACTCATCATCAGCCAGATAGTTTAAAGGTGCAACTTAATCTAAACAGTCAATTATTACTTCGAGCTTAACTTCTATTTATTTATTTCGCGTCTGCGCAACACAGCTTGGTTTATTCTATGATAACAGTTTCAAGACTTCCATAACAAAACACACATTTTGTTTGTTTTCCAACAGGTTATGACGCCATTTTTACGTCATCATGGTCAGTAATTCGCGCTTTTCCCCCACCACATCAGTGCCTTGTGTAAGTTTAGGATTAAATACAGGGCTCGCGTGCTATTCGCGTGCCCCATATATCACTACAATTTGTGTTGTATTAACGAGGTCTCTATGTTTATTCAAGAATCGCAAAGTTTGTTGTTTAGACAGTGAGAGATAAACCTTTTGTTTATAAGCGATTAAAAATAACTTTATCTAAGCCCGGTGGTGGGGCAATATACAGCTAACTAAAGATATAGTGCAGTTACTTAATGAACAAAGGATTGGCAGGCCTATAGCTCGTAAGGAAATAAATTTCATGGGCCCCTTATCGTAATAAGTTAAATTCGCATTTCTAATTGCTAAGAGCAGCGAATTATTAGGACAAATTCAAACGTTTTTTTAATGAGATCTTAGCTACCTTTGAGCGACGAGAAGCGACAAGGCCATTGGTTTAAATCATTCTGCAAGATTAGGATGGGAATAATCAATATGTTTTTGACTGTTTGATTATATTTCTGCGTTTTTTCAACTCAATAATAAGTAATATACAAACGTCGTACATATATATTATTAACAAAAGTCGAATTATATATTTAATCATATCATAATGTAAATCAATCGAATAATTATAGGCCCTGCCTTTAAACAAAAGCATAGTTGACAAATCATTACAACAATTGAAAAATGCAGGAGACCGCCATCTTAAGCTAGAGCTTGAACGTGACGGTGGCCTCATGAAAGCAACTGATATGCACCAAACTATGATATATATAAGCAGAAAAATTATATTTATAACAACAATATTTGTTCAGCTTCACAATCTATATTCTCTTTGAAAAAATATTGTTTAGAAAACTAACCTATAACGAATGTGACTGGTTATATATCCTGCTCATTAATTTTTCAACAATTTTTATGTAGAAAAATCGTGTCATGTTTGTCAATTTACAGACCTGACATTTTACGGTAATTGTGCCCAAATTTGGCAAAATTAGTTCATTTTGCTTTATCTGAACAAAAAAAAAACGAGTAGACTATGAATTATATCGATGTTGATCACCTGAATGTCTGAACTCCTAATTTCAAATGCTTTTTATTTAATTACGATTTCACAAATCAGATTATTCTTTGTCAGTGTAGAAAAATTAACAATTTACAATATTTTCACAAAGGAAGAAATCATGCCTATTGATAGATTTGTTATCTCCCATTTTGATAACACTTGTGCACAACAAAGAACATTATAATTACACAGTTAGGACGAATTGTTTAATTTTACACACGACAATTAAATATCAACCTTTTTGTTCAACAACTAGGGCGTTAAAATATGTTAACGTTTCCTATTGAAATTCTGTTCCAATTATAATGCAATGCCCATTCTCTGCCGGCGTCGCAAAAGAACTTAAGGCGAAGATATATTACCCGTGAAAACTCTTATTTGAAGAGATCATAGAATTGGCCCGCTTTATAAATTTCCGCACCCTCTTAACAAAAGCAAATTGTTCAGCTCAAGAAAAGGTCATTATTCATATGACGATTCAATTGGTGAAATCAAAATCATATAAATGAACTAAATAAACATCGTGCATGAAGTTGTATCACACCGCAGACCAATGTTCAAAGCGATGGGAAAAGTTGGTAAGGACATATCAATAATTTCCTGATGAAAATTGAGTAAGGGTGCGGTCAGAATTACTTGCTGGCTGAGCACCGAGTGAAAGGCGTTGCCCTCCTTTAATAGCAATTTGATCCAGCTCGATGCTTTTGGGGTGAAATTTAGATACATTTCTGAGCAAATATTGGCCTATTGTTCCGTCGAGCACGATTTGGTTCGTCACTACAAGCATACGCACGCACTGACATCGCTCACGCGTGGTTTATGTTGGCAATACAGCGGACGGCGATCTGCGCGCGAGGGGGCGTGTCGTCGCCCTGATTGGTCGGATGCGACCGGAGTCGTCTGCGCATGTGTGGTTTCGGAATATCGCCAGCGAAGATCTCGGTCTCGGATAGCGGGCTTGGATGGGGACAGAACATCTCGGCGACTCCGCTATAAAACTTCGTTCTTGAAACTTCTTCGGCATTTTAATTTCTAGGGTTCGGAGAGGAATCCCAGGCAAGGTGCCCTGGATGTTGGAATGGGATCAACACCAACCGCTTTCAAATATAACATTGATACATCTCTTCATGCTCCACTGGCAACCAAACTCATCTCAACCCAATTCAACGGACACACTTGCTGCTTATAAACCACCCAGAACAATTTGATAATCCACCTGCGCTCCCAACCAACTCATAACTTCTCAAAACCAACTTCAGGTATATACTCAGAGATCACTATGGAAAATATTCCTTACGGTCACGAATCGCTTCTCTATCACCAGCCGACAGCATATCACCAGTACAGTCACCCTTATGATAGGAATGTCTTCGAACCCCTCAACCAGAGCTATGGGCGTCGGCCCTTCCAACATGAGGGGGGTAAGGCGACACGGAGGAGGAGAAAACCCAAGTGCCCCACGCAGCAGGTCCGACAGAGACAAGCAGCTAACCTGAGAGAGAGGAAGCGGATGTCATCCATCAATGATGCCTTTGAAGGACTTAGGGAACACATCCCCACGTTGCCTTACGAGAAGAGACTGTCTAAGGTGGACACCCTGAGGCTGGCTATAGGGTACATCAATTTTCTGGCAGAGATGATCGAGAACGAGGGAGCTGACCTGGAGTCGCCAGCGACAAGTCCGGAAGAAAACCAGAAGAAAGTTATCATTTGCCACCGAGGTGAGTTTTTACATCTCATAATCGTTGTCATCTTTCTTCTTCTCCTCCTCTCTCATTTTCCTCCTCTTTCACTTTAACTTCTTCTTTTTCTTTTTCTCCTGCTCTTCTTCGTTAACCATCTTCTCCCTACTCCTTCTTCTTCTCCCGTCCTCCTTCTTCTTCTTCTCCTTCTTCTTCCCCTTCTTCGTCTTCTTCTCCTCCTTCTTCATCTTCTTCTTCTCCATCCTTTTCTTCGCCAATCTTCTTCCTTGCCCCCTTTTTCGAGGCACATTCACTGATCATTGTGTCATTCGACTTTTAATAATTTCATACCTAAAGTAGCATAAAATCTAACCAATGTAATAGGTAATCAAAACATACACATTTTTATAATAACTTATCACAGAAATAACATTTTTTTCCCTCGTCAAATTGAACATCAAACTAATATTGAGTAACATATTTGTAAAATTAGTAAATTATTTACGTGTCAAGATTTATACAAGCATGAGGTCATGAAATATAACGACACATTGAAATACAAGAACTATCTACATGCATGGCATATTGTTGCTGACAAATCAATATCACAATTATTAATCCGATATTTTACAATGAAAAACATGCAATGTTTTCATAGAATTTGTATTTTGCCTACAAAACATTGCTCTAAATAGTCATCAACAAGGCTAAACGCTTTTCAAAATTACCAACAAATGCGTAACAGCGTATGAGTTAGAACACCATATTACCCTGTATGATTATTTCGTCATCGTACTCTCTTCATCTCCGTTATCCCTCCCCCAAAAGCCGAGGATTGGAGCTACAGAATTAAAAAAGAAAAGATCAAAAGGCAAAAATAAGCAAGCCACCATTTTAAGGAACGGAACTATAACTATACGGTGAAAAAAAATATAATGGGAATGTGGATTAAGCAACCTAAAGCATTCACGTGTAGAATACAACTGTATACCTGCAAGTGAAGGATTAATGCATTAGCCATGGTTCTTGGTGGAATTAACAAGGTTTTCTCTTGTCGTTTGCGCTATTGAAATGGAGACGAGATCAATACCTGATCGATAACGGTGAGGATAGAAAGAATGGGCTAGGGAATGCCGAGGGACCCGTTCGACACACAAGACGGAGCAATCGACTGAAGAAAATGAAAGAACTATTATAAGACACCAGAGAACATCGTAGCTTGTGTACTTTATATAACTCAAACATTGTCTTCGCCTCTCTTGTATATTTTTCTTTTCAAAACTTATTCAACTCTTGTCGACATGAGGTCGTCATTTCCAACTTCTTCTATGCTTGACTCTATCAATTCATTATTTATTCATAACTTAATGTTATATTTATCCAAGGTAATAAGCTAAGAGGAGAGAGAGAGAGAGAGAGTGGCTTAAAGATTTTTTTTAATCAACAATATAACTGTCATGACAGTATACGGTTACTCATGTTGCAGCCATGATCAGGTGAAAGTTATTTCAAGCTTATCTTGGACTGCGTGTCTCGTTCTCACTTTACATCTTCTAGTATCAGTATATTAAGAAACTCCCAAATGTAGGGATAGGACGAGCCAACATTTACATTTATTACCCCTCTTTCGATAAGTTAACTCATATTAAAAGAAAGTGAATGATTAAATGACGCGCAACTTTACTTTCATCATCGCTTAACGTCGAAGATGAGAAGTTGTTTGTCATTCGTGTTTCGGACCTCTTGAAACATAATTTTATCGCTGTTTCTGAGGGATTCTCACCTTTTGTCCACATCCCTCAAGTCTACCCTTTGATAAGTCTCTTCTTGTCCATCAAAACTTTCGGTATCCTCTTTACAAAATGCCCTCGAAACCCTGCTTGAATTGTGGCATTATAATTAAGGTACCCATGTTTTCTTCTCATGACAACAAGCACCGTCTAATACCGATAACAAGTTTCCACACTGGTCCCGTTAAACCCATTTGTCATTTTCGGATTACCCCACTGGTATTGTCGGTTACCCCCATACAATCCAAAGGGGGTTCTATTTGCCCCCTCTCTAATCTTGAGCGGTACCGTAACATAACAAGGCTCTCCCCCACCGATTAAGGGCTTAGCAAATCCGCTTTCCATTGAAGATTACCTGTAGGTTTTCTAACACAAGTGTAAGGAAATTGGGACTCGTAAAGGCGGTTAATACCAAAATGAACATAGGGGCTTTGAACCCCCGGCAATAGAAACCTACACCGCCATAAAAAGAGAGGAATTGTGTTGGACAGGAATTAAACTTGCGATCGGGCAATGGCAAACTGGGAAAGGCGATAATTATTCGGCACATAAACCGTCACCTAAACATGTAGTAAATGGCTGTGAATTGAATTTTATTTGGGAAGCCTATGGCTGAAGCATGGCCTAGTACGGCTATACAGCAGCTCCGACCGATTGACAATGAGCCAATGTACTCTACTTTCAAACTATACGACAGGATAAAAAATAAGAATAAGGATATCAAGGTGGTCATGAACTGACAGAAAATATACCATGAAATACAGCTGTAGTTGAAATGTGTAATATTTTAATGCTTGTATCTGATTTTCAATAAAAATTAGTAGATGAGAGTTAAGAGAGTCACAAGTTTAAAGCATCACTATCATCAAACACCCAAGGATTCAATAAGTGGACAAAAATTAAATACATAAGTGGAAGGTAAAAGCGCTTGTGAGTTACATTTTAAATGAATAGTTAAAAGTTTGATAAAGCACGACGACGTTTATTTTTCTGGTACCCTCTTCTGAATGAAATAATGAAATCACAAAACAAACATTCGATACAAAATGAAGAATAACCGCGACATTAAATTGAAGTGTAATTGCAAGTCCTAGCAAAACTCATCGCTTTTTCGCTGTGCAGTTTGTTTTTCAGCACATGCATTATGCTTATATGTCGTATCAAAAAGTAGAATCGATTCCAATCATCTCTAAATTTCAAGTCTTTCTCTCCTTCTTTCGTTTCATCTTCTCAGGATCGCCGATACCGCTTGATAACGAGTTCGGCGTCACGCCCCTCGCCGGCCACTCCCTCTCATGGAGCAATGAAAAGCACTCGCAGCCAGCCCCAAACGGTACCATGGTCGCCAAGGTATGGACGCCGGAGGATCCCCGACAGTCGTCGTCCAGTAGCTCTCCGATGTCGACAGGAAGCAGCAGCAGCGAGCACTTCTCGCCGTCGGGTTCGTACGATTATGACGAACTTGAAGGCGTGACGACGTTGGCGGGACTCACGATAGCTCAGCAACTCACCCCTATTCATCACCATCTTGAAGAAAGATGTCACTGAAAATACACTTTTTTAGATCCCAGATTTTAAAAATTCTAAAGAAAACAATAAATTTATTGAGTTAAACAAGCAACTTTGCTATTTTTAACTTCATGAGAAATGCATTTTTTATTAGAAAATAAGCAGTATATTTGTAGCAACTCTATGGACAAAACAGCCTAACAAATTTGCTCAGTGACATTTTTCGTCCCATTTAAAATAAGGGTTGCAAAATAAAATATTCCAGTTTTGTTTCGTTTCTTTTAACTTTTCGATGGGGTTCCTTCCGATCATAAACACATTTACAAGAAGTGTACAAATGTGGGATTCCTTGACAAAAACAAAATTATAATTAAGGGTGGCTGTTACAAGGGGACCCAAACAGTAAAGCAAGCTCCTAGAACACCGTAGAAATATGCTCCAATTTATTGCACTTTAAATCATCGGCTTGGTATTGATAATCGTACGTCTTCCAAATCTATACGGATATCAAGCCCAAATGAAGTGTTCCTTTTATTTGTGGTTAGAAATCACTTTGAAGGCGTACCCAACAAAGAATAGATCAAGGGGCAAACCCCCATTAAATGGTGGAAAAGTTTGATCGTGCGTCAATAAATATATACCACTTTCAGCATCTCTAGTGGGTCTATAACCCTTGCGGAGCTGCATGAGTACAATACTACTCCTCCTTCCGAGGAGGGTCCACCCCCCTTGATCAGTGTTTGGATACGCCATTGCAAAGTAAATTATAGTTAATAGCATTATCTGAATCGGTTCTAAGATTATAACAGTTTAATTACATGGACTCATCTCCCCAATGACACTTTTAAGGCTACAACTCTATCTTACCAAATAACTCGTTGTTTTCATTAAACATAAATTGTATCTGAACTTCAAAATCATTAAAAATAAACTTGTATTGATCTATGCACCATGTGGGTTGCTTAGAGATATATTGAATCATGTACATGAACATTTTGAGAGTATAACCTATTTAATGCGAAATGGTATCTTTACTAAATGTGCATGCTTACAATCAGAAAATCATAGTGAAAGAAGGTTTCCAATATCTTTCGCTGCAAAATAATATTTCAACGGACCTCTACAAATTAAGACCCCAACTCTGAATATATTGATAACTCAACTATTTTGAAACGTACAGAAACTCTATTGTGTTACGTTAGTTTATGACTAACAAACTCGATACCTTGTCAACTCGCCGAAACCAACTAATTGACTTACATCATCATATCATTGTGATGTGCATGTCTTCAAAATATTTTCTCAATATTTATTCGTTGAAGTTATGAGAATCTTTTTATTCTTATTTTATTTTCACGTCGTGCCTTCTTTGTATAACATGATATTTTTTCTTTGTTTAGAGAGTGAGTGTGGTATTGTACATATGAAAACTGTTGTATATAACAAATTATGATTAACTCATACATATATCATTTTGTTGCTTGTTTGAAACTATATATGTGTGAATTGTGCGTACTAATATACGGTATAGGCCCGAAAATACCAGAACAAACTCACAATGTTTTCAAATTAATTATAATCTGGATACATTTTATGTGATTATATTTTTAACTTACATTCTTTAACTTTCAAGCATTAATCTTAGCGGAATTTGAATAACGCAAAGTTTAATACGGAATATGGATATCTAATTGGACTATAATGGTATTACAAATATGGGTTTTAATATCATTGCAATTGTTAAGAATGCCTAATAAGTATATCTAAGCATCTTGATCAAAATTCCACGACACATTCAGCTTCAAAAATAGCTTATAGAATTCACAAATTAAGACAAATATTTAAAAGTAGGCTGACCGTTTGTAAAGCATGTAATGATTTTTCTTTTCGTTCGTAAGTTTCTGGTCGGAAAAGTGTGCAATATTACTTTTTGTTTTGTAAGATATAAGATACTAAAAAAAAGGGAAATCGAAACGAATGTATATACGTCTTAATGTAAACATACATTTCTCTATTTTACTGAATAACTCTATTGCTGATTTTCGAGACATTCCATTATTTTCGGATACATTCCAAAGCTGCAAATGAGATATTGAAATCAATTATTTCGTGTTTCTAAGATGAAATTCCCATGTAGGGACCATCTTTAGGATTATTTCGATTACTTTTATTTAAAATTATATCGTGTAAAACATTCCAGATAGACCATATCTTGTTCATATATGTCGGGTTTCTGTTATTTTTGCTTTGATTTTATTCATGAACATCACCTGATTTGTTTTTATATATATATATATATATATATATATATATTAACTCAATTCGCGTTCACGTGGAAAGACCAAATTATATCGTTTTCTATTGTAAAGCAACTTTTTCGAATCATGAATGAAAAATAAATCTCACTTTCAACTTATTTATGCTTGAATACATCATTTCTGTTTATGTGGTTATAAATAAGCTAGTATTTGTTTATTCAGGTTATATCGTCATAAGTCATAACAGTTTTCCTTTACCGCAGTATGACGCAAGTTTTATTTGTTTAAAATATTATCAAAAAGATAAAAAAAAAAAAAAAAAAACAGGTTATCTATAGTTCAGCATCTGCATATTCATAATAGATAAACACTTAAATTATCGCATCTTGTTATTGAGGAATCTGGACATATTATTAGGACATGAAATGGAATTATCGTTAATCTATAGAAATTAGGATTTTAAAACCATTTCGTAGCAAGACTCACTAATTAACAATGACTAGATCATACCTATAAGTTCCATAAGTTTCTAAATAATAATAATAATAATAGTGGGTTCTTGTATAGCGCTCATGTCAGTCAAATTTGACCCTCCTGGCGCTCCCGATCATCTTCTTCTTCTTAAACAAAAACAAAACCATCGTCATCACCAATTTTAGAATCTGTTACCATTTATATCACCAAAATAATCGTCATCATCATTATCGCCGTCATCACCACAACCATCATCACCATCATCATCTCCACCACCACCACCACCACCACTACCACCACCACCACCACCACCACCACCACCACCACCACCACCACTACCACCACCACCACCACCACCACCACCACCACCACCACCACCACCACCACCACCACCACCACCATCACCATCTCCACCATCATCTCATCATCATCACCACCACCACCACCACCACCACTACCACCACCACCACCACCACCACCACCACCACCATCATCATCTCCACCACCACCACCACTACCACCCCACCACCACCACCACCACCACCACCACCACCACCACCACCACCATCACCATCACCACCATCATCTCATCATCATCACCACCACCATACCAATCATCGTAAATCGTTTCATCATCATCATCATCGTGACGCATTGCATTACATTTCTAAAACTAACACCTCTCGTCATATTTTTGCACCTGTGTTCATAATCACCACTCCACCACGCAATTTATATCCATATTCAATAATATAAAACCCTATTCTATTTCTACCTGTTTTCCAAGCCCCCCCCCCCCCTGCTCCCTTCTCCTCGACAAACAAATTTTTACCCCAATATGGCTGCCAACTCAATGACGCACGAGCCCATATCAGTAATAGTAACAGGTGTATAAGAGCTACCACTTTCCCGTACTTGGTAAGCGTTGTTAGGCATTTCAACCGGGAATGCATGGGTTAAGAATTTGGGGTATTTGTTAATGCCTAGGCGTGGTGATGTACAGTTTTCAATTACGGGCTTATTTTTGTTCTATGTAGAGAAAATTTGAAACAAAAAAATTAATTGTATTTTGTGTGCGTCCTCTCTTTCTTTCTCTCCCTCTCCCTCATTCCTTCGCTCAACCCCCCTCTCTTTCATTCATTACCATTGGCACCATATCTCTCTTTCTCTCTGTCATTAAACACACAATAATTATGTTTCCATGCAAAATATCAAATTCTGTCATAATTACTGGTTTATTCTTGTATACCCTTTGATAAAGGAATACTCAATTATAACCCGTGTATTATGAAATTAGTTAAGATTTAAAAAATATGAAGATGTCTAATTCATAATGAAATATAAACTGTAAGTTTGACTTTAAATTAGACAGGTTTAAAAGTAACATCATGTAATTTGTTTGTCGGATTCTATAACATTCGTTTAATAAAAAGAGTAAAGAAATAAGATAATTCAGAGAAGAAAAAAAAAACTTGAATTCAAACATTTATATGTCCTACTTACAATAAAAATAAACATATCATGAAATATACATTTGAATTGTAAGAAGGAGGCGAAATTGCCTAAAAGAAAGAGGCTTGCTTATGATGTAGAAAAAACGATAGAGTGTGTACAATGACAGACATCGAAATGAAAAGAATAAACGGGAATATTTCAACAACGTTATGCAGGATTGGTTGTCGAATATATAATCATCATGATAATCATGTTTATCATCTATCGGCACGCGAATAGAGATAATACACGCAGATAATTAGACGTGTCAGAGGTCATGTTTATATAGGCCTAGATCGATCTCCCTGGAAGTTATTGGCCCGTTGATGAATTATTGTCATTAATATAACGATATCGTATATGCAATATCAGAACGTGTTGATAAGGATTTTATCTGCTTACTGTTTCTATATTTTCTTACTCTCCATCTCTCTCTCTCTCTCTCTCTATCTCTCTCTCTCTCTCTCTCTCTCTCTCTCTCTCTCTCTCTCTCTCATTCACTTTATGTCTGTCTACATAACCTGTCTGTCTACCTATGTATCTGTTTGTCAGTTGTCTGAATATCTGTATTTATCTGCATCCCCGTTCTATATTGTGTTTTACATCTTTATTTCTTTTTACTTTCCTTCTCCTTCTTTCTCTCATTGTTTGCTTGTTTCCCCTCTCACCGCTTTCCAACTTTCTATTTCTCTCTTTTTCTCTTCATCATGCAAACATTTTCCCCTCATCCCCTCTCTCGCTTTCTCTTTATTTCTCTTTATCGTCTCTCCCTCTCTTCCCACCACTGTCTGTCTCTCTCTCTCCCTCAACCTTTAAAAATCTTTAATTACAGGACATTGATTGCCTGTTAAATGTTCAGTAAACTGGGACTTAAACGTAAATAGTAATAATGGCACTGAAATAAAAAAGGGGGTTTCTCAAAAAGTATTATGGTTCCGAAGTCCCTTTTTTATGAAAACAAAAGTCCAACGTATTCTTTATTTTCCCTGTACGATAAATTTTCTTTGGCACGCGAACACGCGTGCTGCTTTATTAACTTAATATATTCTTAAATAAATCGTCGTAAATACTCGAAAAGGGCTACTTTATTTGTTTCTTCAGGGCCTTATTTGCTCTGGTCGCGTTTAATTATTGATCTTGGATGGGTTTGACGATTCTGTACAGCACCCTTCATTTAAATAATGTATTCTGTTCATTTTAAATGAACATCCCGCCCCTTATAGACTGTGGATTCGTCATACCTTTTCCAGTAAGTTTACTTTGTCAGAATGCTTTTCTTTTCGCACATCCTGTAAGCCCATTTTCAAACTTATTTTCCTATAATTCATATCATTGTGACTTTAAAAAAAATAAATTCCTCATTTTGCTCTTGTTATACTCTGTTGCGGTACAATGTTTTTATTTTTTTCTCATTCTTATGGTGATGACATTTTGAAACACGGACCTTTTCTTTCATCTTTTAGAAATTGTAATTCTTAATATGCATATCATTTTCCTTCTTCCTATTCATTTGCCACTGCACCTCTTACCCCCTCTCTCTTCATCTCTCTCTCTCTCTTTCTCTCTCTCTTTCTCTCTATTTCTCTTTCTCTTTATCTTTCCGTCTCCCTATATCTCCATCTATTCTTCCCTCCGTCGTTCTCCATCCCTTCCGCCATGATCATGTAGCTCCACGCATCCCCTCCTTGCTCTCCGTCTCCCTATCTCCATCTTTTCTTTCCTCCATCGCTCTCCATCCCTTCCACCATGATAGCTCCACGCATCACCTCCTTGCTTTCCGTCTCCCTATCTCCATCTTTTCTTCCCTCCATCGCTCTCCATCCCTTCCGCTGTGATCATCTAGCTCCACGCATCCCCTCCTTGCTTTCCGTCTCCCTATCTCCATCTTTTCTTCCCTCCATCGCTCTCCATCCCTTCCGCCATGATCATCTATAGCTCCGCGCATCCCCTCCTTGCTTTCCCCGGATAACGCGAAGTAGAATGACTACGATCGGATACGAATTATTGGTCTTTCGTCAATAAACCGAGCCTAACCTTGACAATATACCGTGTATGTGTGATCAATTATAAATTCCTTCCGTTGCTATACAGGCTCTCCCGTTAGCCCGCAATTAAAATTCCTCCGGCTTGTAGAAATGTTCGACCAAGCTCGATTGGCGTATCATAATATTGAATAGCCCACACGTGTGCGCGTTCCACCTCTTTTTATTACCTTTTTAGCAATTCTGTCTCTCACTCTGTCCCTTTTTTGTTGTCTGTCGTCGGATTCTGATAGATGAATGAATGAGTCAAGCCGTCGAGAGAAAATTGAATTTATGGATTTGGTAAGAGGAGGCAGGCCGCGTCATTTATTAGCCTCTCACTCGGGTTCAATATTATTATCGAGGGATGAGATGAGGTTCGTAGCGGTGGATGCTGTACTCCATCTTAAAGATGTTTCTCTTCATGCGATGACTATAGGCAGGGAGGTGTTTTATATCCCTGTTATAGGTTAGACATGTTTATTACCATGTTACTAGTCAAACATCGTTTTGTTTTCTCTTTGTCAAGTTTAAAGGCGCATAGAAGTGGGCTCTCATGGGGAATTTAGTCAATCACCAGGATTAGCCTTCATTTTGTATGACCAATAGGCCTTACGTAATGCTCCACCAATCGCCCCATAATACCCGAAGACCATCCGAGAGATTATGGGGTATTTAATGATGGGACTACGGATTTCTGTGTGCGAGACTTGAACACCCATTAATGGTATTTCCACCAAGTGTGGTGTACTGCACATTGAAACTAACTACAATCTCCCTTTTAAAGGGAGGCTTTACTACTTCAGCCAGAAGAGATTGGCCACCAGTGAGCCAGCGAGGTCACTGTGACAGGTGGCTATCTCATTAACTCAGCTCTTATTTAACATAAGAAAAAGAGGATCATGGGGGACCAACAGGCACCGATTTGGGAAGTTTTCTATATAGAGGTAGCAAGTAACTACAAGTAGTACAGTGTGCCTTTAAGCTATATTTGCCACTCTCAACCCAGGTTTAGTAATATACATGATAGATACTTGGCTTGGTCACGATGATACATTGCACTGATAAAGTGATAGCGACGGTAGTAGCTATATATAACGGGGGGGGGGGGGGGGGAATATCCCAATCACTATGGAAGCAAAATAAGAACGTTATCGCAATGTGTATGC